AGCGCCTATATGGGATCCCGGTGGGTTCAAGGAGAGGACTTAAGCTGCTAGGCCACTGCACCGGGCCCAGATGCATTAATTTTTTTTAAATGATTTATTTAGTTATTGGAAAGCAAGATATACAGAGAGGAGGAGAGACAGAGAGGAAGATCTTCTGTCCGACGTTTCACTTCCCAAGTGAGCGCAACGGCCAATGCTATGCCGATCCGAAACCAGGATCCAGGAACTTCTTCCGGGTCTCCCACACAGGTGCAGGGTCCCAAGGCTTTGGGCCGCCCTCTACTGCTTTCCCAGACCACAAGCAGGGAGCTGGATGAGAAGCAGGGTTGCCAGGATTAGAACCAGTGTCCATATGGGATGCTGGCATGTGCAAGGTGAGAACCTTAGCCAGTAGGCTACTGCTCTAGGCTCAATAATATATTTTTTAATTATACCTTGAAACTGTCCTTTATCTTAAGAACTCCATTTGCATCAATTTAATTTCCAAAACCACGTGTTTGCTTTTTTTTTAAAGAATGCAGAGGAAAAAATTCTTTCATTATGAGGAGAGCATAGAAATAGGGCCCAGCACGACAGCATGGTGGCTAAAGTCCTCACCTTGAAAGCACTGGGATCCCATATGGTCACCAGTTCTAATCCTGGCAGTCCCACTTTCCATCCAGCTCCCTGGTGTGGTCTGGGAAAGCAGTCGAGGACAGACCAAAGCCATGGGACCCTGCACCGCATGGGAGACCCGGAAGAAGCTCCTGGATCCTGGGTTTGGATTGGTTCAGCTCCAGCTGTTATGGCCATTTGGGGAGAGAATCATTGGATGGAAGATCTTCCTCTCTGTCTCTCCTCCTCCGTGTATATCTGAGTTTCCAATCAAAATAAATAAAATATTTTTTAAAAAAAGAGTATAGAAATAGAATTAGACTCAGATTCTGGTTTTACTTGTTGCTTGTGACTTGAGGCAGGTTAATGGATCTGTCTGAGCTTCAGTTTCCTAAGCAGAAATTGTGCTTACAATGCAGGTCACACAGGTTTCTATGAGGATTAAATAGGACACACATTCAGGTTTCGCAAACAGAAAATGACCCTACAGAGAATACACATTCGTTGTGCTTTTTAAAACATCCTCCTGCAGAAGACAATGCCATTCCATTCTACAGTTCGCCTTGGCTCATGCAGGAAAAGCTGCATCCGCACTCTGGCTCCTCACCCTCTCTGCTCCTGTCCCTGTGCGCACGTCCTCGGGAGCAATGCGCACCTCCCTCAGGCAGGTTCTGACTGCTTGAGCAGGGTACTTCAGCAGGCCAGTTACTGTGTCACGGGCAAGGTCCAGCCATCACTCTCAGATCCTTCCCCCTGTTCACTGCCCACTCCTTACCTGTTACAGCACAAGGTTGAAAATATGCTAGGCAAGTCCCTGCTTCCTGCTCAAGACAAAGCCACTCTACTCTCTGTGTTCTAAGGTCTCCTATTTAGCTAGCTGAATATATAATCTTTAACTTTTAAATTAAACATTTGTGTGTGTGTGTGTGTGTGTGTTTGAAATGCAGTTACAGAGAAGGTGACATACACACAGAGTGAAGGAGAGAGCAAAAGAGAGAGAGCGCGCCATCTTACTCCTCCAATGGCTGCAACGCAAGGGCTGGGCCAGAATGAAGCCTGGAGCTTCATCTGCATTCCTACTTGGCAGCAAGGGTCCACAGAGTTGGGTCATTTTTTACCACATTCCCGGTCACATTAGTGGATCAGAAGTGAAGGAGCTGGGTACATTGTCCCTTTTTAGACTGCAGAGGTTTTGAGTCTGAAGCCCAAGCAGGCTTCCAGATCGCCCTGTACCCTGGCCCTGCCTGTCCACGGAGTCCTGAATGCATGGCAGGCATGTGGCACTTGCCTGGCCAGTCTGCGCTTCAAGCAGAGCCGTTGTTTCTCTCGTGCAGCCACATTCACAGGTCACACTGGAGGTAAGAAGGATGAGTCGTAGGATCTTAGGACTCACATCTCATCTACAACCCCCAGTTTTCTTCTCTTTAATGATTTGATTAGATTGAAAAATAGACAGTGGATTTTGTTTGAATATATGATCAAAAGGGCTATTATAAGCTTAGTTGGCCTACTAATTTGAATTCAAATGCTAAGCAACTTTTCAAAACGTCCTGAAAGAATCTTTTACATTCAGATCCTAACTTGTCAAGGTTTGGGTAAGGCAGTCTGATATTTACTATCCAATATCTGGGGCAGACTTTTGGTCTAGAGGTGAAGATGCCTGCGTCCCATGTCTGAGTACATGGGACAGTACCCAGTTCTACTCCTAATATCAGTTTCCTGCTAACGGAGACCCTAAGAGGCAGTGGTAATGGATCCTGCCACTCACACTGAGGATCCAGGTTGAGTTCCTGGCTCCGAGATTCATCGTGGCCCAGATCTGGTTGCTATGGATATCTGGGAAGTAAACCAGCAGATGGGACATTTCTTTCTTTCTCTCTCACAAGCTGTTGCTCTAAAATTCCCTAGGGGAGTCCTGTCGTGCTGGGTCTCCTGCGCAGAATTCTGGGGATTAAGAGCCAGATGGATAGGAGACTGGTGTTCTCAAAACATTCATCCTGCAGCTCCCTGCTTGTGGCCTGGGAAGACAGTCGAGGATGGCCCAAAGCCTTGGGACCCTGCACCCACATGGGAGACCCCGAAGAAGCTCCTGGCTCCTGGCTTGCAATCAGCTCAACTCAGCTCCAGCTGTTGCAGCCACCTAGGGAGTAAATCAGTGGATGGAAGATTTCTCTGTAAATCTACCTTTCCAATAAAAGCAAATAAATCTTTTTTCAAAAAAAGTGAAAATTCATCCTTAACCAGAAGTGAACAGCTACGATGTTTGGAAATGATACCATGCAAGACATTTTGGCAGATTCCTATGATATAAAAATTAAAAAAATATATATATATATATCAGGGGGACTTCTAAATATAAATGTCAGAGGGATTTCCAATCCCCAGGAAAGAATTTATGGATATACCCTAAACTCTAGTGTGCTACTGCTCCAGGGCCTAACTACATTTATAAACTTTAAGTATAATTTTTACTTATTTCAACCAAATTCACTCTTACCATACATTTTCCTCTTCAATGCCCTTCATTAAGCAAACATAAAACAAGACAGACACGGGCCCCAAACTGGTGCCAGTAGAGTGTTGTCAGACTTAAGTCTTCCAGTTCTGCATTTACAAATGTACACACAGCCCGCTCACCGCATGCCAAGCCTGGTGCTGGGCACTAGACTTCCGGAGACAGAAGGAACCGCCGTGCCTCTCACAAGCAGCTTCCTTCAGGTGACTGTCACAGCAAAAAGCATTACTCTTTCCAGGGAAATGCAGATTTCAGCAGGGCTCGAAGACTGAAGTTACATGACTAAAGCTCAATATCATAGGGGCACAATGACTCTTCAAAATATCCTGTAGTGAAACCCTCACTTAGCAAAGAACTTCACAAATTTGAGATTCCTGTCCCTTTTCTTTCTCTTTATATCTTGGACTTAGCAATTTCTCTTAGTTTATTCACATCTTGTAAGAACAAGATCAGTAAATCACTTGCAAAGGGAAATCTAGTTTCTTATTTTGAGGTATAGTAATATTATTTTAAAACAAAAAATCCAGTTGGTTTGCTAATACAGTTTGTATAAAAAAATTTTTGAGATTTTTATTTATTTATTTTGAGAACCAGGTAATATATTTTAAAGGATAATACATTTAGGCTGCGCTTTATACTGGGTTCTGAGAACAGGAGAGTATTTCTAGGTTGCATTAAAAAAAAATAACCATGATGTAATTCTAGATTTCCTTTAGACATCATTTGGTCACCATAGAAACCTACTGTTTTACTACCAGATATCTATACAGCAGAAGGAAAAAGAACAAGCAATTACTTACTGGGTTATTTGGGGGTACAGAACATAATGACTGGGCCAATTTAAGATTAATACAGATCTCACTGAGGTTCCGTTTTAGCCAGGCAAATTGATTAAATCTTCTAGTCAGCTGGACAGAATTTGTAGCCAAAATGACTGTTGACATCAGTTGGAGTAACAGAAGCAGGTGAGCAGCACAGCTCTGGGGTTACCGGCACTGGCTTTGGGTAAAGTTTCTTGGTTCAAATTCTGGCTCTACTATTTGCTGGCTGTTTAATCTTTAAAGTTTCCTAACTTCTCTGTGCCTCAGTTTCTTCATGTCTAAAGCATGAGTAATCATAATCCCTTCAAAGCACGGTGTTAAGGATGAAGTGTCTAATTATTTGTGCCTAGAACAGTGACTCATAAATAGCAGAATTTTTAAGTATTTGTTAAAGAAAGAGAAAACAAAAATTTTAATTTGTTAACTTGTCTCCGTGCTGGGTAGAGATAGTGAGAGATGCCAACATTTAGGTCCATGACAGGCTAGTCTAGGCTATCTATAACTTCACAACATTCCTTTGAGAACTTCCCAGTAGGAATGCTCTAAAGATGTTGAAACCTATGGAGGTCTGCTGTCTTAAACCAGAACAGTGGACAATCACAAGTGTTCCTGGTACCAGGAACATCAAAGGAACAACCCGCTGCCCACTCAGGCTCCCTAAGCCACTGCCAACGACCTCTGAGAACGTGGGCATGGAAGCAGCAGCTGAAAGGAATGAAACTGGATTTTATGACAGTGACAATGAAATCTAGTTGGTTTCAGTAATGTCATTCCTCCCGCCCCTTTGCAGGATTCAAAGAGGGGAAAAAAAGCCTTTTCATCAATGGTGTTTTGTCCTCTTCTCATTATATACGGTTTCCATCTAATTTCTCTTCAGCAGGCACTTACTCTGGCCAATTATTCATTTTACAGAACTACCTAGATATCTTTTCTTTTGGAACAGATCCAAAGCACCTACCAAGCATTTAAGCCACGGCAAAAATCTCCAAACTGCCTGGGGAAGGGAAAGAAGGTATTCTGTCATCTGAGCCAATATTCAGCGGCAGGACCCGAGGATCTCCATCACATACCTTCATCCAGACTTGATCCCACGAACAGCCTCCTTGGGTCTTCTCGATGAGCCACCGTCCTTGCACAGGAGTTTGGAGAATGCCATAAACCGCCAGGAAAGCTTGGAAACATATTCACAGCTGTTTTCTGCCTTCCCCTTGGCTCACAACCGGCTTCCTGGTAGGGAGACAAGATGACGCTGTACAGGGTTGACTGCTAAAGCATCTTCCCGCCCCCAGCCCCACGCTGGGTGCCCCTCCCTTCTCCTCTTCAAGGCTTTGGAATGTGTCACATGGGAAATGGATCATGTGGCTCAAGGGGAGAATGTGGCCATGTTCTCTCTCTCCCTTCCCCCACTTTCCCTTTCAGGAGCAAAGCTGCAGAAATCTCTGACCTGATTGGCTCTGACCAAAAATCTCCATATGAAAAGGGGAAGATTCAAGGCTCCAACCTCCAGCCTCCTCCACTTTCCCCCTGCCCACCCCCACTCCAATCTGAAGATTTTATCCTGAGCTTTTAGAGTGGCTCGGGAAGGAAGGAAAATGAGAAAAACCTTAGAGTAAAATCTTCAGTCTAAGCCTTCTCTTGCTTTCTCACCATCAATATCCTGACACAGCATGGTGTTGCCCAGCCTTTCTGCAGAGCCCCCTCAGTGCATCTGGGACAATCGCATGTTCAGCACCACGGACAGCATTACACCCCCAGCAAGGCTCCTTGGAGCCATTTGTCTATTTCACTCAGGTAAATAAAGTATCTTAAAGATATCTTCCTACAGTATTGTATACAATTAAAAATAACACCATATTTTTAAGGCTTAAATTTTCTGTACTATAAACTGTTACCTTTTAAATATAGATAAAGGGCTCAGCACGGTAGCCTAGTAGCTAAAATCCTCACCTTGCACATGCCAGGATCCCATATGGGTGCCGGTTCTAATCCCGGTGGCCCTGCTTCCCATCCAGCTCCCTGCTTGTGGCCTGGGAAAGCAGTCAAGGATGGCCCAAGGCCTTGGGACCCTGCACTCATGTGGGAGACTTGGAAGAAGCTCCCAGCTCCTGGCTTCAGATTGGTGCAGCTCTGGCCATTGCGGGCCGCTTAGGGAATGAATCAATGGATGGAAGTTCTTCCTCTCTGTATAGCTGACTCTCCAATAAAAAAATAAAAATAAGAAAATATAGAAACATAATACAATTTTTATTAATCCAAAGTCTCTCTTACATCTATCTCCCTGTCTCCACCTAACCACCCATCTCACAGCTTAAATAAACTTTACATTTTGGGAGTGGTGGGATGAGGCTTTCGTAACAGTTTACTATATGCTCATTTCTATATTTGTAGGAAAAAAAACCACAGAAATGCACAGGAATTCTTGGGAGAGCAAATCCAGGGATTATCAGTCCCAATACCAGGCCTCAGGCAGGGTTGAGAGAGGCAACGCTGGCCCTGGGAGGAGCTGTTCAGCACGGGTCTGTATCCTGCCTGCTGACGTTCTGGTTGCCATGGTGCTGGGTAACCGCTGAACGGGATGATTTCTTTCAAAACTGGTCGCCATGGGACCCTGCTGACTAAAGAAAGGCAGGGGGGTAAGGTCCGAACTGCTGATGGGGGCTGAGAATTAGCCTTTCTCCGAGCCGAATTCACCTAATAGACTTTTCTTTTTTCCCAGAATTATGGCTGATCTTAAATGTTGAAATGATTCTAGGAATCAGGATAGACCAGTGACTCCCTCTCCTTCCACCATCAGGTCAACCACTCCAAGGATCCTGTAATGAGTTCACAGCCCGACAGGGAGAACAGAAGAGAACGCTACCTCTCCTGGGGGTAGGACTTCTGACTTTTGGGAAGCCAATTACCTAAGCCCTATTAACCCTTAACTGGAAAATGCATTAGAGCCTTAGGGTGAATATAAGGAACAGTTTGTGAACATTTTACAATTGTATGGGAGAAAAGATAAAAATTTTTGAATTTGAATTGCTAAATACATACTTGGATAGCATTTGGATTACTATAAATCAGGAATTTAAACTTAGCTACTTGTCTAATAAGACTAACATGTAATTATTTCTTAGAATCCTAAGCAAGGCTATTCTTTTATTTAAAAAGATCTATTTGAAAGGCTGAGCTAAAGAGAGAGAAAGCGAGAGAAAGACAGATTCTGTATTCACTGGTTCATTCCCCAAATGGCTGCAACAGCTGGGGATAAGCCAGGCTAAATCCAGGAGCCTGAACCTCCGTCTGGATTTTTCACGGTGGTAGCAGGGCCCAAGCACTGGCCCATCTTCTGCTGCTTTCCCAGGTACATCAGCAGGGAGATGGATTAGAAGCAGAGCAGTCCACATGGGATGCTAGTACCGCAGAACATGACCTAGCCCTCCTAATAACGCCAGCTTCAAGGCAATTCTGAGTAAATGCTTTTTGGAGGCAAAATACTGACTTTCAATGTGCAGAAACACATTATTTGTAAAAGAAGAGGTAGCACAAGGATGCAGGAGTGTAATCGCCAAAACTAAAGCTCCTTCCTGGCTTAATGGCTACAGCTTTGATTTCTTCCGTTTCGTATTAGTATTGTAGAAGAAGAGTCAGCTTCATTCCATTTTTCCACGCAAGAAACAGAGGAATTCAATTCTTAATTCTAACATTTGCACTTGTAGCAAATCCACTGATCAAGAAAGCTGAACATGTGTTTGAAGAAACTCTTAGAAAATCATCAGGTAAAGACTTGGCTTTCATTTCTCATCTAAGTCAATACTACTACTACTGCTACTATCACTAGTACTACTAACAAGAACAAGTGATATTTAATACATACCACGTATGTACATACATGATGTTGAACCTTACGCAAATAGCTCTAAAAGCACAGGCAGATGACATCACTGGGTCTCAGCTTTAGCCCCAGAGGTCCTTGCCTATCCCTAAGGACCAACGCAGGGCTGACTGGCAAAGCAGGTTAATCTGCCTGCAATCCCATATGGGTGCCAGTTCAAGTGTTGGCCTCTCCATTTCAATCCAGCTCCCTGCTTATGGCTTGGGGAAGCAAACGAGGATGGCCCAAGTCCTTGGGCCTGTGAACTCACGTGGGAGACTGAAGAAGCTCCTGGTTTGGATCTGCTCAGCCCCAGTCACTGAGGACATCTGAGAAATGAACCAGAGGATGGACGTGCTCTCTTAGTTTCTACTCTCTGTCATCTGCTTTTCAAACAAAAATAAATATTCAAAATAAATAAATAAAAGGAATTCAATGAATTGAAATAGTGATACAACTGGCACCCTGGGCTTGCTGAAGTCTACCTGGCCAACACAAAAATTTCCTGAAGAGCACAGCATCGCTGATCCATCAAGAAAACATCATAAGCAAGCAATGACCAACCCGGAACTTGGACACAAACTGAGCGTGCACCTCTCAGTTCCAACTTTGATGTGCAAGAACCAGTCCTCTTAATGCTTCTGGGAGCCCAGGAATTAAGCAATAGCTGCCAAGTTTGTTGCTCTACACTTTGCAAATATCTATTTTCTATCATCACCTTAATGTCACTGATTGGCTTTCACTGTGATGCACAAGTGGACCCAGGTTTGTGGATTCCATAGCAACACTTCAAACTAGCTTTGAACAAACTGTTCTGCTACAGGGCCATTTAATCCAAGCTTCAACCCGATGAGACAGGTGTTGCTATTGCCATTTCTGTTAGACTAAAGAAACTAAGGCTCTACATTTTCTATGGCTGTGTGGACCAACTGCAAGTCCATAACAGCATGGTTAAAGACAGAGCAATCACCCCAAACCTTTCTGATTCCCCTGGAGCACAGATACTGAATTAACAGTAAGTGGGGCTGGCATAGTAAAAGCCATGTGATACCTAAGAGAACTAAACAAACATATGAGAGAGAGAGAGAGAGATTTACTTGTTTGTTTGTTTGAAAGGCAGAGTTGGTGGGGTGCAGAGATGGATTTTCCATCCGCTGGCTTATTCCTCAAGTGGCTATAATGGCTGCTGCTAGGCCAGTCCAAAACCAGGAATCAGGAGCTTGTTCTGGAGCTCCCACTTTCGTGCAGACCCCATATATATGAGTCATCCTCCACTGTCTTCCCAGGCAAACTAGCAAGGACCTGGATCGGGAGTGGAGCAGCAGGAACTCAAACCAGTACCCATAAGTTGGTGCCACATGTTATGCGGGTGACACCTTTACCCACTACACTATAGCACTGCCCCCCAAAAGAACAGAACTATATTCAAAACAAAATTGGCCACTTTAGGGCTTTTTTTTTTCCTGGAATCCAGTAAGTTGTGATGGCTTTAAAATACTCCCACGAATTCTTTGAGGCGGCCTCTCTTCAAAGGTGAAACCTAACTCATCTCCCCTCGAAAGTGGGCCAGAGTTTAGCTGCCTAATTCTAACACACAGGGTGTGCCAGAAGCAATTCCATACCATCTGAGGCAAGATCCCAGTAAGGACAGTTGTCTCCTCTGTGTGTGTGTGTGTGTGTGTGTGTGTGTGTGTGTGTGTATGTGTGTGTGTGTGTCTTTGTCACTCTCCCACCTGCTCTCAGGTTTTTCTGGAGCAAGCTGGCCACCATGTCATAACTCCCAGGATGCCTTGTACCCCTAGAAACCACAGTTGTCAGGTTGCAGGCAGGGCCCCATGACTCCACCAGATGATGACCCAGGGGTACTCACTGGTGAGGGTGCTGTGGATTGCCCTGGGGAAGAGGGTTTGTGGAGTGCGGAAGTGGGGGCTATCAAGGGAATAGTTTACAGGTGTGGAATGACTTCCAGAGGCTTCTAGGGGCCACTGCACTCACAGGTAAATGAGGGAGCTGAAACCAGGTAGTTTACAGAAGGAAAACCAGAGGGCATGTCTGGATCATACCAATGCAGCGGCCCATGTAGGAGACCTGGGCTGGGCTAGGTGGCATCGCTCACCAGTACACAATAAAAACTAGGGCTTGAGAGAATGCTTGGCAGGACTAGGCCACAGTTACCCACCAGCCAGTGTCTGGACAAGGAGTGCACCATGCAAGGCTGGGCCATGACACCAACCAGCATGGAAGAGAACCATCTCTGGGTGAAGATTCTACAAAAGATATGTGGGCTCACCCCTGTGGGTTTGCAATACGCACTGATTTGCATGAGGACAGGGAGTGGTGATAGGCTAAGCTAGGCGTGACCATGGAACTC